CCTTTCTCCCCGCCCCCACTCCCCTCCCCCCCAATTCATTTCTTCACAACAGGATTACATTTTCTAGAAGTGCAAGAGAGGACTCTGAAATGGTTTACAGCCCTTTGAAGGTATTTCATGCAGTGACAACCCCTGAAACCCCATTCTGCAAAGTCTCGGCGTGGTAACTTTTTTCTTTTTAAACGGGGACGCCGCCTGCCTTTGTGTTCCTGTATTTATGCCAGGAAAACGCGGACATCAGATAGGCTGGCCTGGAAAAAGCAAGTGCAGGCTGTGGCGCCTGTGCCCAGGTTTCTGCCGATATGAAATGGAAGCGCAGCCAGCCTTCCTGCACCAGCTCTGGGCTCATGCAAAGCCCTCTCCAAAGCAGAGTTGCACGTGGGAGCTCTGGCTTGGAAACAATTTGCTCTTTTTTTCCCCCCTGTCTGTGCCATAAACACTTGAATGTGCACACAACTGCCGAGCTTGATGCTGCAGCCTCAGGAGATGGGGCGGGAGCAGGGGGAGGGGCTGCGTGTGCAGAAAAGCTAAAGAAAATTGAGAAATGCCTGTGTTTTATTGCCCATCTGATTTTTTTTTTTTAAATGGGCATGTTTTGCAATCACGGTTTAAAGAAAGTTCCAGAAAGTATAGCCAAGGCAGCATGCCTGTGCTTCAGGGGGTCAGGTTATTGGGGGTAAGGTCGTTCCCCTCGAGCCCCGAGGGAGTCGGGAAGGTGTTATGGTTTTCAGTTAGGCCTGGAACAAGTAGAGTATAGGCTTTCTGGATGGGGGGGGCGGGAAAAAAAAAAGCAACCTGAAAAACAAACAAAAAAACCCTTTTAGTCAGGAACAGTGGCTTTTTGTGCAGCTTTCTAGGCGGGGAGGCTCCTGTTTTTTCAGGAGAGATGAGCAGAGTCGGTGGAAGTTACTCAAACCCGAGGCTGAAAGTTACTCTATACACCCTCAGAAGACCTGAGAGATTTCAGGACTAGATCCTTCTCAGCGATCTCATGGAGTCGGGGGCGGGAAAGGATTCGCACTTTTAAGCCAGCAGCCGAAAAACTGAGTTCGGCTCTTAGAAACGAGAACAGCATTCGAATGCCTTCCCGGCGGCAGGCACGGCTCAGAAAGGGCCATGTGTGCTTTTTAAAGTCCAGAAAATTAGAGCTCCAGGACACACATTTTTCTCTTAAAAAATAGGAAAGAAGCAAAAAAAAAAAAAAAAAGTTCTCTAATTTTGAGTGCCTAATAGTTCTCTGCGGGAAGTGTTTGATGCTTTTGTTACACTGGGGGGGGGGGAACCCCACTATGGCTTGTTTTTAGGGATGGGGAGATTAAAGTTGGCTCAGCCACGAGTAGGTTGGGAAGCTGACAGTGTTTTGTTCCAAGTGCCCACAGGGTGGAGAGGCTGAGACTAATGCAGGTGGCCTCCGACTGCTTGCTGTCGGCCGAGGGACAGATACAGGAGCAGTGTGCAGCGTGGGGACTGGGGACTCTGAGGGCTCGGTCACCCAGATAGCATCTTCCAGTTTTCTTATTATACCACTTACCTCTGTGGGGATCTTTTCTCTGTATTAATAGAAGACTCTGAGATTGCAGACCATCTCCCGAGAACCCCATCACGCAGAGCGAGAGGACCCACAGTGAGTGGCTCTCAGCCCGGCTGACCTCCCCCTGGCTCGACCCGGTCCTCAGCTGGGTGGCAGTTAGGGCTCTGGTTACACGTGGCCAACTCAGACGGCAGCCTTTGCGACATGGGATCTCTGGATGTGCCCTTCCCTGGGGACAGTGCCACTTCCCTGTCGGGCAGACGAGCCCGACAGACCAGACCGAGTTTCTGGGTGTGTGGGGTTCATTTTATCCCCCAAATACTTAACGTGGAGGAGGACGCACTAGGTGTAAGGTGACATGTCCCAGGGCCCTGAGAGTAAGTGGCCTATATCTGATTAGGATACAGCTTCCCCGTTTTTTCCTCTCTCCCTTTATTATTTTTTGAGTTCTCAAATGATTCAGAGCAGTTCCTTATTTGTGCAAACCGAGATCACTCAGGGTCGCTAATGAGTGTGTGGTCAATATGTCACTGTCTTCTGTTCACTTGGTACGGGGTCCCTTCTCCTGCCCAGCCTCAGTTCCCAGGTGCACGGCAGTGACGGAGGCTGGACAGGTGGTCCTGTCTGGGGACGGCGCTGAAGTGCTCCCTGAAATTCTATCCTGGGAGAACACAGCTCCCAAATGGCAGAAAGCCAGTGAGGAAGTCCCTGTAGGCAGAGTCCCGAAGAGCCCAAGGGCCAGAGGGCCCCTCGGTGTCCTAGCCAGTGCCTGGGTCCCCGCCCGGCCCCGTTATCTCATATGCACCCCTGGAGACTGGGGGCGCCTCCCTCCCTCCAGGGGGCCTGCCACCCACCGTGACACGCCCCGCAACCCTTCTCTGTGGTTTGTGCTGCTTCCACCCTCGGGAGCCTTTTCAGCCCCAAAGGCCCCTCGCTCAAGGCCCCCCTGGCTCCTGCGTGAACAGGCCCAGCCTGGCTCCCTCACCCCCGCCCCAGGGCCTGACTGTCGCCTCCAGGCCTCCCTTACGGGCTCTCGGCCGCAGCCAGATTCGGTGACCGTCTCCAAGACATCGCCGACGCCCTCGCTTCTCTCCTTGCCCCTCGAAGGCCCCCCGTCCACCCAAGTGGGGATCCCTCCCCCTCCCGCCCCAGGGGCACCCGCCCCCCCATCCTCTCGTCACCTCGCCTTCTCGCTGAGCTGCTGAGCTCCTGGGGACCGCGTGAGATGATGCCGGTTTGCCATGCCCGGAGCACAGCCCCCGGCAGAAGATGCTCCACAGACATTTGGGGCACGAGAAGGGGTGAGGGTAGCCCAGCTGGGAGAGCGTCTGGACAGTCTCTCCCGGACGCCCGTGTCCAGTGCAGGCCTCGGATCGTGGGTCTCGGTGGAGCTTGAGTAACTATTGCTCCTTGGACGACTGATTCATTGAACACTTGCTTCGTGGCTGTGTCTGCACGAGCACAGACGAGCTGCCGTGGGTGCGGGGCCGGAATGTGAGCGAGGCAGTGACGCGGCCTGGCACTGCCCGCCCGGTCGGGGAGAGGAGAGGTGGGAGAAGGGGGGTGCATTGCTCGGGACCGGAGGGGCTGAGGGGTCAAGTCGGGAGGGGTCTTCCTGGCTTGCGATGGGAACTTGGAAACACACTGAGGGCGCTTTGGGTGAACGCTAGCCAGATGCCCAAACGCTTGGCATTCTGGCGCGGAGGGAGTGACTTTTGGCCAGTGAAGAGACGTGTTGATTGCAGGACAAACCACCGCCCGGTGGAGACGCTAAACTCGGAAGCCTCTAATTCTGGCTTGGCCCCCAGCCGGCGGTGAGCTCAGGCAGACCATTTGGATGCAGCTAAATACCCCAGGCCGCTTTGCTGCTGCTCACTCGTCGTCAAGGATACTGGGCGGATGAATGATGAGAGGCTCATCTCCCAGGGAAGGCCTGGAGGGGACAGAGAGGAGCCCTCCACTCCACCCTGGGGGACTGGGGCTGGTATGGGAGGCCCTCACGGACCCCGGGGCGGGGGAGGCCAGATGCTCCTCCGCAGGCCTGGGACCGTCCCTGCCGTCCGTCGTCGTGGCATAGGTGTGATGCCGGCTGAGGCAGCGTCGGGGCAAAGGGAGCGGCAGTGACGCTCGCCGCTGCCGGTTGGGGCTCTGTGGTCTAGGAAAACGGAACGCGGACCTTTATTATTTTGTGGAACAGCCCCGCCTCCGCGAAGATTCATATAAGTTACACAATTACGGAAAAGTTACATAATTCTCAACGCCCATAGAGTAAGGACCGCACTCCCCGCTCTGTGCCCTCATCCCCCGCTCCTGGGCCGAGGTTTCCATTTACTGCAGATAATTTTCTGTGCCTTTACGTATATGTATGTGTACATACGAAAACATAATTTTTGTCTCTTTTTCACACGAGAGACTCTGCTGTGTGTGCGTGCGTGTGTGCGTGCATGTGTGTGCGGGTGTGTGGTGCGGGTGTGTGCGCGTGCGTGCATGTGTGTGCGTGTGCGTGCGTGAGCGTGCGTGTGTGCACGTGTGTGCATGTACATGCGTGTGCGCATGCGTGTGCGCGTGTGGTGCGTGTGCGCATGCGTGCGTGCGCGTGCGTGTGCATGTGTGCGTGCGTGCGTGCGTGCGAGCGTGTGTGCGTATGCGTGCGTGTGTGCGTGCATGTGTGCGTGTGTGCGTGTGAATGTGCGCGTGCATGTGCGCGTGTGTGCGTGCGTGTGCATGTGCGCGTGCTGGCGTGTGTGTGCGTGTGTGTATGCGCACGCTCACTGCCTTTGACTTGTCGCTGTAACGTTCCGTGCATATGTATGTGTACATACGAAAACATAATTTTGGCCTCTTTTTCACATGAGAGACTCTGCTGTGTGTGCGTGTGTGTGTGCGTGCGCGTGTGTGGTGCGCGTGTGTGCGTGCGTGTGCATGCGTGTGCATGCATGCGTGTGTGTGCGTGTGTGTGTGCACACACTCACTGCCTTTGACTTGTCGCTGTAACGTTCCGTGTTCGTAAGAGTCCGTCTTCCTCTCGTGTTTACAGCTGGGTCCCGTTCCGGACGGTGGACCGGCCACACTTGGCCGAACCGTCCCTCCGCTGGTGGACGTTTGTGTCGTCTTCGGGTTTTACAAGCATACAAGTGGCGCTTCGGTTAACATCCTTGTGGGTGCACTGGGGAACGTGTGACTCTTTCGAGAGGAGGAATGTGTGACCTGTGAAGTCGCAGAACTGGACGAGTCTTGTTCTGCTTCCCGTTTCTCTCCTACCTGTCTGAGGTGGGCTCATTCTCCCGCCCGCCCCATGCGGGCTTCGGAGCCACAGGGAGGCCGGCAGCGGGCAGGCGTGGCTGACACAGAAGTCTCTCCCGAGCTCTGGCCCCAGGCCCGTGGGGACAGAATTGCTGTTTTATTCCAGCAGAGGTGACTCATCTGAGGTGGGTGACGGTGTCTCCTCCCGTGGTCACCAGCCCCGCCGCCTCCCAGCAGAGAAGCCCAGCCACATGGGCTGATACGCGAGTGTGTGCAGAGCACACTCAGCTGTCTTGGACAGGGTCACGCTGCTTCCGCCGGCGGGCTGACATGCTGGTCATGTCACTCAGGCACTCCGGGGACTCACGTGGCCGCAGGGAGCTCAGTAGAAGCTTCCCTCAGACTTTGCTGGGAGCTGGGTGGCCAGGCTTAGGGGACCAGGGCCTGAAAACACAGTTTGCTCAGATCGGGGCTCTGAGAGGCTCCCCTGTGAAAATCTCAGCCCGTGACTCGTCACCGGGCCCGCCCTGCCGCCCCGAGCCGCCTGCACGTGCGCTTGGCAGTGTGGCCTTTGCCGCAGGCCACGTGCCACGTGCCACGTGACATGGCACACTGCCGTTGTCAAAGAATAGTCTCTTCTCTAGAAACAGCCCTTGCTTGTCTCCAAGACCTAACGCATGGAAAATGCCCAGATGGCGAAAGGCCGAGCGGTCCTGCGGCCGTTCCCTGGTCCCTGTTTAAACACGCGGGATTCGATGACTGTGCTGCTTATCCCGTCTCCTTCCTCTGTGCCTCTGCGGGGTGGGGGGAGGGGGGAGAGTCCCCGAAGAAGGTGCAGGTCGAGGCGTAGGTCTCTGGCTTCATCTCCTGGGCTGTCGGTGACGGATGGTCAGTGGTCGGTGGTCAGCGGAGCCAGCTGGCTCTCGTGCTCCAGCACGGAGCGCCCGGCCTCCGGTCCGGCCCCCGCCCTGCTCTGGCCGAGATAGTCGCTGTGCCACCTGGGAGGGAGCGGGGTACACAGCTGCAGGGGGAGCTGCACCCGGCTCCTAAGCAAAGCTTCCAGCGATCACCACGTCGGGTTTTCACTGTGCAGATGGCAGAGGCCCAAACCCTCTGCCACCACGGCTGGGGCCCTGGGGCTACCACGCTGGCAGCCGCCAGAGGTGCAGGGGAGCGAGGGGCCTGGAAGGACGTCTCCTCGTGTGATTTCCGGGGAAGGGGCGCGGGAGGCAGGGGTCTTCTCACTTCCTGCCCCTGCCCCTGCGTGGGTCCACCTGTGTACGCCCAGACCAGCGGAGCGTCTCCTCGGGGTGAAGGAAAAGGTGGGGGGACTTGGCATCCAAGTCAGGCTAACGAAGGCTGGGGGTCGTCTCCGGCACCCGTGAGCCGCCCCCACCCCAGGATTTACGGCCATGTCTGCTGAGGCCTCACGGGTGGGCGGTGCCCATGTGGCAGAGGGCGGAGCCCCCAGTGGGCGGCAGCCAAGCGGCTCTCAACCTCTGCCCAGCTGCGGGACTGAGGTTCGTTCCCCAACCACGCGCCTCTGCCCTGCGGGGAATCTGGGGTCACGTAAACTAAGCCTGTGTGTCATTTTGTGGAAACAGAAAAGAAGAAGCTGACCGCTTTAGAAGCCCGCGGGGGGCACAGCCAGCCTCGTTCGTCCTTCTGGGCTCGAGGTCAGGTCCAGGCTGCTTGGCGGCCCAGAGAGGAGGCAGCAGCAGCTCCCAGGCGTGGTCTGGGGCTGCCTGCCCACCCGAGGCCAGTCCGCTGGGTCCCGGGGGCCTGGCTCCTCGGTGGTGTCCTCTGCTGCCCTGTGTGCCTGTGTCATATGCAGGTCCTCTTAGGTCGGGGTCTTCTGAAGTCTCTTTTGTGAGGGGTTTATTTGTCCTAAACTTGGTCTTACTGAGCCTCCTGGGCGCCCGCATGCTGGTGGCAAGTCGGTCACAGGGCATGAGCGTCCTGGTAGGGTGGCTCTGTGGACCGCCAGGCTTCCCAGCTGTGGGGCCGGCGGTTCCACCTCCTCTTGGGGCGTCCGGCCCTTTACATCAGCAGTGGGGGCACCAGGAGGAGAACTAGCGGCCACTTGTAACCCAGCGGAGCTGCCAGAAGCCTGCAGCCTTCTCTGTTAGTGGGGTCCTGGGGAGGTGACCCAGCGGCCTGCCTCTGTGAGCTCCCGAGGGTCCTGCCGGGTGGGGACACTTCCCGCTTTGCCGGTAAGAGTCAGCCGACTGTGGGGCGGGAGCTAAGCGAAGCTTCGCTCTGCTGGCGGGGGTGGGGGTGGGGGTTGGAGTTTTATAGAGCACGTGCCATGTGTTAGGTTCTGCATTCGGCCTTGCGTTCCTAGGTGACTCTGTGACGTAGGTGCCAGTGTCCTGAGAAGCAGTGGCAGACGGGTTAACTGGTCTCACACATCAGTGAGTGAGGAGCCAGAATCCCTGCCCAGGAAAGCCTTTCGAGCTGTCTCTTCCCGTCGTTACCGTGGCCACCTGGGCGCAGAGCCGCGGCCATTGTCCTCCCTCCTGCAGCCGGTGGTGACTTCTGTGTTCTGGGTCTTGGCACAAATCGTTCCCGAAGCAGGTGGACAGATTAAAGATGGAACCAGGGCGGTGGCTCAGCACCCGGGGCAGCTGGTTGGTTGCCCGTAGCTGAAGGTCACACGGCCACGCCAGAGTCTGCAGGTTCGGAGCTCGGCGGACACTCCACACATTGACCGTGTCCCCCGAGCCTTCAGGCGATGTCTTGAGAACAGGGCCATGAAACGGCAGAAAGCAAACACTGTGTCCTTGAGCACCGTGTGGATTTAGATTCTGGGTCTGCTCGATTGCGTTTTGCAGAGTTCTGTTACGGTGGTTTTCTTCGCAAAAATCCTGCAGGGCTGAAGCAGACTAGCTGGGCTTCCGGGGCGCTGGAATCCGGGGCGCTGGAAAAGCGTTTTGACTGAAACACGTTTTCTAACAAAGCGATATTTCCCTCCTGTCTCTTTGGTTTGACTTTGCGTGCAGGCCATTGGATCGCTGCCCTTGACACCATGGACCTGCATCTCTTCGACTACTCGGAACCGGGGAACTTCTCCGACATCAGCTGGCCATGCAACAGCAGCGACTGCATCGTGGTGGACACGGTGACGTGCCCCAGCCTGGCCAACAAGAGCGTTCTGCTGTACGTGCTGTCCTTGGTGTACATTTTCATCTTCGTCATCGGCATGATCGCCAACTTCGTGGTGGTCTGGGTGAACATCCAGGCCAAGACCACCGGCTACGACACGCACTGCTACATCTTAAACCTGGCCATCGCCGACCTGTGGGTGGTTGTCACCATCCCGGTCTGGGTGGTCAGCCTCGTGCAGCATAACCAGTGGCCCATGGGCGAGCTCACGTGCAAGGTCACCCACCTCATCTTCTCCATCAACCTCTTCGGGAGCATCTTCTTCCTCACGTGCATGAGCGTGGACCGCTACCTGTCCATCACCTACTTCACCAACACCTCGAGCCACAGGAAGAAGACGACGCGCCGTGTGGTCTGCGTCCTGGTGTGGCTGCTGGCCTTCTGCGTGTCCCTGCCCGACACCTACTACCTGAAGACCGTCACGTCCGCGTCCAACAACGAGACCTACTGCCGGTCCTTCTACCCTGAGCACAGCGTCAGGGAGTGGCTGATCAGCATGGAGCTGGTGTCCGTCATCTTGGGCTTTGTCATTCCGTTCTGTGTCATTGCCGTCTCCTACTTCCTGCTGGCCCGAGCCATCTCGGCGTCCAGCGACCAGGAGAAGCACAGCAGCCGGAAGATCATCTTCGCCTACGTGGTGGTCTTCCTGGTGTGCTGGCTGCCCTACCACCTGGTGGTGCTCCTGGACGTCTGCTCCATCCTGCACTACATCCCCTTCACCTGCCAGCTGGAGAACTTCCTGTTCACGGCGCTGCACGTCACGCAGTGCCTGTCCCTGGTGCACTGCTGCGTCAACCCCGTGCTCTACAGCTTCATCAACCGCAACTACCGCTACGAGCTGATGAAGGCCTTCATCTTCAAGTACTCGGCCAAAACCGGCCTCACCAAGCTCATCGACGCCTCCAGGGTGTCCGAGACGGAGTACTCGGCCTTGGAGCAGAGCCCCAAATGACAGCTCACCGGGTCTCCGGACACGCGCGCTTGCTGTCAGCCGGCCACCGGGCAGCGTCGTTTCTAAGATAAAGCCGAGGGGCCTCGGGGCTCGACGGGCAGCCTGAAGGGGGGCACACCTGTCACCGTGCATCCTCTCTCTCTCTCTCCTGCCAGCGTGGCTGTCACGGGCTGTGCATTCTGAGTTACGTCACGTGGGGTTTGTCAGAGCCAGCGATGGGATGGCTTTGCCTGCACTTCTGTAAAATAGGACTTTCTGTGTTTCCCGAAGGTTTTATACGGTGTTTTGTATTTAAACGTTAAGACTTTATTTTCTCACTCTTTGCTGTACCTTATTGGAAAGTTTATATTTTAAATGTTGTATGGGCGGTATAATGCTGACATATATTCAGAGTGCTGTAGCGTTAAGATTAGCTTGACTTTGGTTTTGACTAAGGATAACATTCACTGTTAGCTGTTGTGGAATTTTATATACATAAATGTATAAATATATAAATATATGCCAGTCTTGGCAGAAATGTTTTATTTACGACAGTCTTACATCTGTGTGGTGCTTCGTGCCAGCATGGGATATGGAGCGAGAACTGCTCTGTAATACAGTTTCTGACATTAATAGTATTTGTAAAAAAAAAAGCCGTACCGTTCCGGGCTGCAGCCCTGTGCACGAAACGAACGCTCATTTCAGAGCATTCTTCAATGTGTAAGTTATTTTTTTAAATAAAGGTTGTTTTTTTTTTTCCTAAAAGGGCTTTCGCGTCTCCGTTTTAAAAGCACGCTTGGCGTTTAGGTGGCGTGTGTGACAATACTGTATAAACACATACAGCACATACGAGCGAACACGTAATAAATATGTTTTAAAAAAAGAGAGAGTGTTTTACCAAAGGCAAAACCCAGGGGTTAACTTGGAAGAAATGATATAAGAGGAAAAACATTGTCTGCGTTGAGCGTTTTGGTGTGTTTTTGTTTTTTTTTAATTCTCACGATGTGCTTGAGGGAGGGGTGGAGGTTTGGGGGTGCAGGCGGCTGTCGGGATGAAGCTAGCGCAGAAAAGCCCCCGCCTGCCCTGCATGTGGGGATCGCAGCCCGAGACCCTGTCTCATGGGTGCCCCTCACGTCACGGAGCCCCGGACCGTCTCCGCGAAGGTTCCGTGGTTCAAATCCCCATTTCCCATTTCTCGGTCCAGGACAAACGCTTCGTTTAAAAATCACCCGTCAATGTCCCTCTACTGGAGGCCACGCAGTGAGTGAGTCACTAACTAAACCTGTTTGCTAGTTTGAAAGCACCCTCCACGCTCAGAACGGCCGAGTGAGCTGTGCCCGCACCTGCCGGACGTGGGGCCACAAAAGGCAGGGACGTGAGCAGGCAGGCTCGCCTGGGCAGGAGCTCGGAGACGGGCCTGGCTGCCCGGCTCTGTTCTAACCACCTCTACCTCCGACGAGGCCGATTTGCAGAGAGCTATTTGCCAACGCAAAGGTGGGCCGGGGCCAGGGGCTCAGGCCTCCTCCCCGTGATGTGGGAGCTGAGACGGGGAAGCAGCCTGCGCATGTGGCTCGCCCGTGGACTCAGCGGCCAGCCCCGAGCAGGGCCCAGAGGCCGAGCCCGCAGGGGGAGGGCGCCTGCTTCCTGCGAAGGGCTTTATGGCCGAGAGTTGGAACCCGGTATGATACATTACTCTGGCTACCTGCCTGAGACGCATCCGTGTCCTCAGGTGCACGTGTGCCTTGCTTTGTTCCAAACGGTTCAGGCTGGGTGACGATGCAGATGGCGGGTTAACAGGATGGCCACAGATCAGGGTCCGAGACCGAGGGCGAAGCTCGGTGGAATGGCAGAGCGGGGTCGGAGGAAACTGGCCCGAACATGCGCTCCTGACAACAGAAGGTCGTGAGTTCGTTCTGAGTTTTCTAGGGGTCTAAGTTCCGCCAGAAAGATCCCTGTCAGCGGTACATTCAAGGTGGAGACGAGACTCGCATCCACGAGCTCGGCTGTGCAGTGCGTGTAACAGCAAGTAATTCTGTCGAGGACCCGTCTCGGTCAGTTCGGAGATGCTCCCGGCCGCCCCAGCTCCCTCCCTCTGCCCCATTACTCTAGAATTCCGGGGCAAGCTGGGGCGGTTACGTCATGCGGGGGGGGGCGGTGCTTCTTGGTCACTGTTCCCACCTGCCTCTGCTGAGATGTCCCCTGCCTGCCCACCTGGACCTTATGTAGATGTCTTTATGTCACCCCCGTTCAAGGGTGTCTTCCTGCCGTTCCACACCGCGCTGACCGTGGGGCGCTCGGGGACTTGGTGGGCTCCCCACCCCCTTTTCTGCTTTTCCCAGCTGCTGCTTCCAGAGCTGAGGTACAGAGAGAGGGAGGAGGGAGGAGAGCAGGTGCTGAGCCGCATCCACATGGCCTGGGGCACCGGCTTGGTGGGCTCGTCCCATCTCCCAGGGGCCCCGGGGCGCAGCACCCTCAGACCTCCGTGGGGCTTCTGGGGTGCGGGCTCGTCTCATGGGTTTGCCGGGGACTAAGCCCGCTGCCCCTTCCAGAAGTCCCCTCCTTGGCCAGGCCTTGAGGACTTGCTCCGACTCATCCCCTCTTCCAGACTCCGGTCCTCTCCCTTGGTCTCGGCTGTAGCGTCCTTGCCGGGGGCGCCTGCGGGGGGCGCTGTCCTTATCGGGGGCGCCTGGCCGTGGAGCTGCAGGGCATGACGGAGGCGCAGGTCAAGGGCTACGGAACGGCACCTGGGGGAGCATCATCCGTCCGTGTCTTTAAAACATGTCCCACTCCTGCGGGTGGGGGTGAGGGGTGGGCAGGAGTGGGGGGCCCGGGTTTGTGACCCGAGGCGGGCGTTGGGGAAAGAAGCTCTATCCTGAAACCCAGAGGCCAGAGAGCCTGAAGTTCTGCCATGCGGAGCTCGCCGTTTTGCGTTCTTTTCGATGGATGACCTTTGAAGACAGAAGCCTTGTGAGATGGGAAAAAGGAAGCTGTTAGTGGTTTAGCACACAGTCGGGGACAGCCAGAGCGAGCCGCAGCCCAGGATGGGGCCTGGGACGGGAGGGAAGAGCAGCCACCCTTCCTTGTCGCGCTGCCTGCAGCCCCCTCCCCACTAGAGACGGGAGAGCAGTTGCACGTCACGCCCTCCTCTGACGCTGCTCCGAAGGCTGTGTGGCTTCCTGGGCCACCATGGGGCTCAGTAGCCCGTTGTCCCCGAGCCGGTGTTGAACGCTTTCTGTTCGGTTCAGTGTGTAAACAACTTCCTGGGTTCCCGACAAGTGACAAAGAAAAGCAGGGCGTGAAAATGCCAGACGTAAAACCCTTCGGGCGTAAAGAGATCGTCCGTCTGCCGGGTAGTGGACTCTGGTCCCCCGCGTAGACGGAGGCCACCGGATGAGGGCTGCGGGCACATGTGCTCAGGCCTCTGACGCTCAGCGAGAAGGCTGAACTCGCCCGCAGCCCGCAGCTTCTGGCCGCGCCTCCGAATCCGGGATGTGGACATTGCGTCCCCAGGCTTCTCCTCCATGGGTCCCGGGGACACACCCTCTAAGGCGAACCCAGAACGGCAGAATGTGGGGGCACACGGGAGCCGGGGATGTGCCTGGCGGGGCGGAGCGAGATGGCCAGTGAGTGCAGGAAGGTCCCCCAGAGCGCCAGACTGCAGGCGTGGGGCTCTGCTCCTCGGCCCCAGGAGTGTCCCCAGGTGGCCAAAGTACTGAGATTTCAGTCCTGCCAGGACGCTGGTTTCGGGGGCCGCGTGCTGGCAAAGCTCTCCCTGTATCTTGAAGCACTTCGCATGGCTCCCCCACCCCATCCTGGACCTCCCAAGGAAAGGTCCTTCACACCCTCGCGGGGCACGTACCCACAGTGCCTCTGGGATCCCGAATCCTGATGCCAACGTCCTTTGATACAGAGCGACTGGTTTGTACGAGGCACGGCAGGGGATTACGCCCTGTAGGCCGTTTGCCTCTGTGGGGTTTGTTTCCGCTTCTGGTGGCTGACGATGGCCTGACGTCCAGAAGATGCCAGCACAGTGGCCTCACCTCATGCCGGCTCTTCTGCTCTGGCACGCGGGCACACCGCGGACGCGTCCCTGCCCGAGGTAACGAACACGTGTTTTGGGACACGGTTTCGGGGTCGCGTCTGGGACGGTCCTAGCCGGTGCTTGGGGGGCAGCGTCTAGGTCGTCTTCTGGAATCGGGGCATCTGTCAGCGTGGGGCGGCTCAGCATGCGCCCGAGAGCCATCGCTGCGGCGGTCCTGAGGAAACGCAGAGAACTCGCTTCCCTGTTTACGGCGACTGGTGATAATAGGACCTGCTCGTCCATGCCCTGCGGACTGCCTTCCCCTGCCTAGGGGACACTTAGCTGTCCCACCGCAGTCTCTGGGCACAGTCCGCATTTTCCTTTGCAAGAAACCGCATTCCAGAGAAATACCGCTGAGAGATTATCTACCTGTGGGCAGTAGCTAAGTGGGGTGATTATGTCCCCCAGGGGACGCCTGGCAATGCCTGGAGATGTTTCTGGCTGTCTCCACTCAGGGTGGGGGTGCTGCTGGCATCTACAGTGCACTTGGCCCCAAATGACAACAGAGTTGAGGTTGGAAAGACCCTGGTCTAGGCTAAAACCAGCTGTTTAGATGCAAGAATTCTGAATGTCATTCATTTTCTTCCTGTGCTCTGCCCTGAGCGGGGGACTTTTGACAATCCCAGGGCTGCGGGCGCATCCTCGGGGGTCCCTAGAACGCTCGGCTTCCCATGTTTGCCCCTACACTCTGCAGAAAATCCGGAGCGACAGACAAGGGCAGGACGTGCCATCGGCGTGCAGCTGGGACCACACCGACCTTCTCGTCCGGCCCGAACACTCCGGTCAGAAGAATCTGGTTGACCAACAGTTCACGTGAAAGACACGCACATGCGGACTAAACGTCAGTCCTGGTTTAAAACCTCGGGAGGCTTTAACTTGCAATTTCATATTTATGACTTTTAGTTTAAAAGGCCCCAGGAAGGGCTCGGTTCCTGGCAGGACCCCGTCCGAAGATTGGGGTGACAGACTGAGTCCCGCTTCTCAGCAGCTCGATGACGCTGGTGGGATTCTGGGAACCTCGTTTCGCTCACCGTGACAAGGACCTCCCACCTCCGTTAAGGGTGGCCGCAGAGGCCGGGGCGGGGGAGCGGGGAGCTTATGCCACTACACGCTGCTGAAGGGACGGGTGAAGGGGTGGGTGAGAGCTTAGTGAGCCGAGGGCCACACACGTCCCTCAAAGTTTCCCGAGCTTTTGCGTGACTCATCCTGCCCCAGGTGTCGAGCACGCCCCGCCCCCAGCGCCCCAGGCTCTGCAGGCAGGTCCGAGGTCCACGGATGGGTGTGTGTCACCTGTGTGTTGCTGTGCGGTGTCTCGACCTCTGTCCCCGTTCTCCAGAGTCGTGCTTCCCCGGAAGGGGCGGGGGAGGGGGACTCGTGATGGAGGAGGCGTGGCTCTCTGTATGGTTTGTGGAGTGTGATGGGTAATTTGGGTGGTTTTCTTATTTTCCAAAGCTTCTCTTTTGTTGGCCTTTCATATGCTTATGCCCTCAGGCCTTCCCGTGTGGGGCTCAGAAACGGATGCCAGTCATGTCTTGTCCTCCCACAGGGTTGGGGGAGACAGGGGG